GTCACCTTGTACTCTTCCTGTTGTCGTCTGCAGTATGCGTTATCACACTGTGGGTTGGCCTTCATTGCCATGCTTGGGAAGAAATCCTGCATGGCATTATAGCCCAGGTAATAACTCACTGTCCCAAACCCCAACAGATACCTACAATACAGACAATGTCATTCCAGGCCTTGTGTTTTAAAGTCCTTTTGAACCGTACTGACTGGGCAGGACCTCTAAGGACTTGAAATGACCATGGGCTAAATAAAGGGTTTGGCTGGGTTGTTTGCATGGTTCAGTTAACCCCTGCTTTGACAAAAAAAATGGCTATATTTTGCCATCTAATGGCATTTATGTGATACTACAGCATTTACTACTTACAAAGTAATGGCAAATTAGTAACTCAACTGGAATAGGATACACCAGTTAGTAATAGTAAAAATTTTGTGTTTTTTAGCATCATATTTGATATCATAGTATGATATTGGAGAATATTGAGCTCAAACTTCAATTTTATTCAGGTAAGCTAACTTAATCACTTAATATAAAACGTCACTCTTATCTCCTAATAATCTTAGTAAGATGATATTTAAATGCTTAGTAATATGGTTAAAGCCTTGTAATTTATATTGTGAGGGGCAAAATATATAATGTAATGCAATACAATGATCATTGAGAGATGTACAAATAAACATTCCTCAAAAGCCTAAGGAATCATATTTGATACATTTTAAAATGATTTAAAGATAATCAAGTAAACCTAAGTTGCTTCAGCCAGGTAAATGTTAATCTTGAAATATTATCAATGTAAAAGTCCTTCCTTTCTATTATAAAAATTAAAGATTTCACAGCAACAAGACATGTACCACAACCTGAACGTTTTTATAATTATGCTAAAAGACCTAAAAGTAATCAGACGACAGAGAGTGTAGCAGATTGTGTAAGTTTTGATCATGTTGATAAATTGAGAGACCGTAGAAACTTAAGATCACACTTCAGATTAGGGTCAAATTCTCAATCTTAATTTTTCCTCCAACTCCCAAAAACTGCTTTTTAATAGTTAGTAAGGTAGTTATTAAAGGGATAGTTCACTTTGAAATAAATTTTTGATATGTTTTAGATGTAGGTGTCTTTTTTATCTAAACTAAACATATTTAGATATACGGGAAATCGCAATGACTATTTCGATACATCTAAATATGTTTAGTGAAAAGTAAAACTTCTGAAATCTCTGTGTAAACAATGCGTGACGTAGACGCGCGAGAGATCACTTACGGCGTAACGTTGGACACGCTTCAGTTGGACATCTGATTCAGAATCAGATCAGTTTGACAGCTGTTAACAAGAGGTAAAAACTATATAAATACTGTTCGTTTTCTCACACAAACCGCTCGTTTCTTGTCTTAGGCCATCAATGTGTACTTACATTTACGAGTCATTAAATCATGTTTAATTTGGACTTCTCTGTGCATGCTCTTTGAGGTGGACCCCCTAAACCTTCATTATATGAATGACAGACAACACCGGTTTGACCGAAAAATGTCAAAATTGAAAATGCTGTGGAAACAAAGACACCTACATCTCGGATGCCCTTGAGGTAAGCTAAAACATATCAAACATTTATTTCAAAGTGAACTATCCCTTTAAGTTTAGGTATTGGGTATGATGGTATGTGTTTTATGAGTACTAACAAACAGCCAAAAATCCTAATATGCATGCTAATAAGCAACTAATTAATAGTGAGAATTGAATCCTAAACTAAAGTGTAACCAAAATTGCATAACAAACTTAATACAGCAGGCTTTATTGGATTCTAAACAGTGTGGTTAGGCCTGTGTTGAATCCTTAGGATTGTGTCTTACTTCAAGACATTCTGCACAAGGAGACCGGCGACCACTCCCATTGTGGTGGGCAGGCTGGCGGCACACACCCCGTCCTTCTTCAATGTCTTCTCATCGATATTTGCAGCCACGACGAGGGGAGGTGCACACTGACACACAGACAGAACTGCATCAGACCACTGTTAACTTTCCAACCCATTTGATGATGTTTAGAGGGTACAACCATACAATACGAAATGTTTTTTTAAGGGCCAGATTTATGAAACAGGGCAAATTAGCGTGAGAGATTAGATTTACTCACAAAGCGCACGTTAAAGAACAGATACAGCCAGGTCATTTCCATAATGACAATTCAGTCTATCAAGAACAGCATGGGGTCGCAAAAATTGACAAGCACAAACCTTAGGCAATTGCATTGTGTGATTCATTTAAATACTCTCCTCCCACAAATTTTGCAACAGAAAGGTTAACTCCTACTCCTAACCTACTAACTCCCATGCCTTTTCAGCACTAATCATTCACTGCATGTCTTTACTGGTTTTTTTTTTACACCAAAAAATAGGATTTGCGCTGATGCAAGCTGTTAGTAAATCTGGCCCGTAATTTGTTATTTTGGGTGAGGGTTTATCATACAGCAAAACAAGCCGTTTCTCCAGGGATAATGAGCTGGATGTGTCCAGAAACTGCGTTCTCACTGACGCCTGACTCCATCCAGGTCTGACCCAGCTCATTACATGCCTATGAGAGAGAGAAGTAAACTTAATTGCTGATTATTTGTAGTGTAGTGTGGCTAAATGGCTAGCTATTTGTTTCATATTTTCCTAAATTTGCACAAAAAAAGTGTTAAAGAAGATAAACAAAACAAATATAGTTCTTTCGATAGTTAAATGTAGTTTAATGCAAAGAACTCACCGTGTTAATGGCCATCCGAGCCTCAAAGTTATCAACACAACTGAGGACCAAATCTACAGGCTTCCCCTCCTCAAGTCCTCCGTGACTGAAAACACAAAAACAAAAGTGTTTTTACAACTAAATCAAAATGAGGGAGAAAACTTTGAGACCGTAAAAAAAATAATCACCTAATGCGTTCCATGAAATGCGTGAAGTTGTCCATTGTGGTGATGTTGTAATTGTGGGTCTCAAAAGCAACATCTGGATTAATGTTCCTGTGCAGGAAAACATATAATACGTTAAATGTTGGCAAATTCGTCAATGACCCCTCAATTCATAATTTCCAATCAACACTACAGTTGAGGTAGATTTTCATTAATAATAAAATAATAGTGTGTGTATATTATCCTATCATCCACTGCCATAATAAAACTTGGAAGAGCCAGGGTATTTTTTTATTATAACTCCGATTGTATCCGTCTGAAAGAATTAAGTCGTATACGCCTAGGATGTCTTGAGGGTGAGTAAATCATGGGCTAATTTTCCCTTTAAATTGAACTAATCCTTTAAGGGTGAGTAAATGATGTCAGAATGTTCATTTTGTGTGAACTCTCCCCTTTACCTAAGAGTGTGTTCTGCAGCCTGAACTTTACTGAGTCCTGCCTGATGTGGCTGGAAGAAGAGACGGTTCATGTTGGCCAGCTCCACCTTATCATAGTCAAACAGCAGCAACTGCAGGGGAAGAAATCACAGACACAGCAGAAAGAGGCATGACAGTCTGTTACCGCAGAGCCGAGGCATGTCTCCAGGGGTTATGCTATTGGCTTCCCTCCTGTGTTCCACACTAAACACTACAGGAATACAAGGCTTGAGGAATGCACCATTTTTAATTGATGTTAGGGTTGCACCACGCTATAGACTGGCCAATCAGTGCATCTCTACATTTGATTCATGCCTCTTAATGTCACATATATTAGATCTAAATATTGAGGAATGATGATAAAGGTGCTTTACCTTACCAATGCCACATCTGGTGAGCATTTCTGCAGTGACACTCCCCACCCCTCCAACTCCCACTACTGCCACACTATACGAGCGGATTCTCTGAGAAAGACAGCAGGGGAATAGTTGTCATCTGAACAAGAAGTCAACACTGTAAAAGTCCCATAAAAGAATAAATAAGCATGTTTACCTCATAGTCTTGCACTATGCCCATCCTTTTGAGTGCCATCAGACGACTGCAAGACATTTAATTAAATGTGAAAATTGCACTCCATATGTATGTATAAACACATACACACACACAGCTGGATTAAAGTGCTCACCTGTATGGATTTGAGTCTACGACTTCAGCGCTCATTTTATCAATCTTTGGTCTGAGATGATGTTCAGCATCACTTTGCTTCTGTTTGGATTTAATGAGTTCATTTTCTAACTCGCGGATTCGCAGCCTCAGTTCCTCAACGGTTGTCATTTCTTCTGTAAAGACCCTCTATTCCAATACAGACGGGTTGTTGTGATCGGATGAGAGGAGGGTAAACAAAGCACAGAAACGATTAAAATCACTACTTAATGTACACGTCTGCACTGTTGGAAATCAGCTGGCGAATAGTGTCTCTTGCTATTGAGTCCGGAGTGAAACACAAAGTTCACAGAAACTGAAGTTCCACCAGTTCATGATTCTCACGAATCGGTTCGTCGCAACCAAAATTTAAATTCATAGGGCTGTTTATTACGTTTAGTTCGATACATTTTTTCCAGTTAAATTTTTGGAGACATAAGTAACAAATATATTGCCATTTGCAAACCTAAATATGTTGTACACTTAGCAACTGCATTTTTGAGCTACACTTATTTACAAAAAAACAATTTACAAAATCTCTCGTTGGGAGACTCTTGTGGATAACATAAACAGTTAAATTGAACAAAATTCAATAAACAAAATAAAAACAAATAAATATAAAATAAATTAGGCATTTCAGTCCATAAGGCATGTCAACGTTATTCATATATATATATATATATATATATATATATAATCCTAAAGTAAAATTATATGGAAGCTTTAGAAATTATAATGACAAATATTTTGAGACATCTTCACATAGAGAGTAAATGTTATCACTGGAGTCTTTCAGAAGTTTCAAAGAATCAAAGTATTCCCTCAGTTCAATTTTAAACACTATGGATGGATTCATTAAAAAGATCCGAATAAAGAAGAAGAACAACTAATCTACAAATAGTAACTATGGTAACAGCAGTCTCGCTCGCGAGTGAGGAAAATAAAAGCTGTTCTTTGTATTTAGGAAATTATTGCTGATTTTTTCCAACTAACTTACATAGAGTAAACAGAAGTTGATTTTTAAATAGTTTAAATAATTTCTGATATTACGAACCTCCAGTCCGGTGGGTGGCGGTCATATATTTTAATATTTCTCCTGTCCATACCAGAGTCCATACCAAAGAAGTCAGAAGTAAAGCGGAAGTTGTTTTCAGAGCTAGTGGCGCGAATGACTGGAACTGGCTTTCTCTGAATGAAATACACACAGATTAGTTAATAATTTATTCTGTTGTCTTATACTATATATATTTATATGGGTGCAGTCGCAGAAATGATAATAAAAATTAAGTTGAAATGAGATCAAAGTCTTAGAAATTAGTTTTAACCCTCTGTCTCGCGGTAAGTCTTCGTTTGTTATTATGAGTGTTTGTTTTATTTAGAGCTGTGCGACAGTATGACTCACTTTGATTTGTCTTGTTTGGCCATATGTTTATGAGCTTATCAAAACAACCTGCCACGAGAAGCTGATTGATCGTTGTTATTGTCATAAGTAACATCCATTTTTTGTTTGATTTTTGTATTGATTTCCTATTTAACTGTTACAGTATAGAGACATATTACATTACAGAATAACAACGTGCGATAACGGTGTACTAGCAGATGTTGACACATGTTTATTAATGATTGTATTAATTAAGCCCACATTTGTATTCCTTCCACCTAATTTAGATTAAATGCCACCATGTCAAAAGGCAACAAGGATGCATATATTGTGAAATTTGTTGAGCGCAATGGACAGAAGACTGAACTGGCTCTACAGGCCTATAAGGTGAAACATGTGAAATTCTTCTTAATATCTATCATTTAATAATATATAATGTATAAGTCTTTTGTTCATACAGTCATATTCTTGTCTTCAGGCAATAGTGGAACTTCAGTCAGAAAAGTATGTGCAGACGGTGGACGAGGAAGCCGCACTAGAGCTGGACCAAAATGACAAATCTCTGTTTGTGTTCAGTGATTTCACCAGCAATTCCTTTGACCACTGCAGGAGGGTGAGGACTCACTTTCAACAGTGCACAGTGTCTGCTTTTTGTGGTGTATTTATAATTCCCAGAATTCCAGTGCATCAATCATCTCTGTATTATTTACAAAGATGCTTAGGATGATGTAAAACTTCAGTTGTAATACCTGAACTCTTGTGTTCTGTCCATTTATGTTTCCCTACTTGTCCCCATATTATTATAAATGTTGATAGTCTTCTAAAACTCTGAATGTTTTTAATTTTTGCAGCTGGGATGCAGGATCGTGAGTCCTCTTGTAGTACTGTTCTGTCTGCAGAAGCAGAGATGTGTTCCCAAAGCAGAGCAGCCTGTGTACAACATGGCAATGGCTGATATCACTATCTCCTGCACCAATCTCGACAGAGAGGCACGGGTACGGAGAAAACATTGTTATTTTATCCACCTTTGCTTACATTAGCAGTAAACTGGAATTGAAATGGCGATACACTTAGGCTATATGTGCAGTTCTGCACTAAAAAAATAAGCAGCTGTTTTGTTTTTCTTGTAGAGTGAAGTGATGGATCTTGTCCAGCTGATGGGTGGACGGGTTTACCGTGATCTCAACGTGTCTGTTACTCACCTGGTGGCAGGTGAAGTGGGGAGTAAGAAATACCTGGTGGCCGCAAGCCTCGGGAAGCCCATCCTATTGCCCAGCTGGGTGAAAGCATGCTGGGAAAAGTCTCAGGATAGGTAACTCATTAACTTCTACACGGTCAAATTAGTTATTTAAAGTCACTATGAAATCAACATTGATTGTTATGTTTTTATCAGAGTATTTTTTTATTTTTATAAGTTATTTATCCATGCAAATCATTTTTATTTTTAAATTCACATGCCCTTGTAATCTTTAATCAAACTATCTCCTTGCAAAATTCCCTCTAGCATTGACATCTCTTTTTTTGATGAATGTGTACCAGGCAAGAACCGGACAATAAGCATTTAGTACCTCGTTGTTCAATTATTGAATTTGCATTTGTTCAAAATCAAGTACCTCCTTGTTTGATCAAATGTTTCAAAATGGAATTCGGAAGAAAAGACGATTACAATTTTTATTTCATGCTGACTTTAAAGTCGGCATGAAACGGAAGTTGTGATGGTCTTTTTTCCCCTATTGTGAAATATAGCCGAGTGAAACAGCTTCTCGAACAAGAAAAAATGTAGGACCTACTTGGTCCATTGGAAATTGATTGGACCATTGATGTTTGCTATTGCTGCGAGTGACAGGTTGTCCTGCCCTCCCGCCAAAAAATAGAGGAGAAATATTCAAGTTATTTTGATTAAAGATTACAAGGGCATATGGGGCATTTGTATCATTTATAATAAATACAATATTTGAATTGGCAATTTTGATTTTATGGTGACTTTAAAGGGGTAGTTCATCCAAAAAATGAAAATTATGTCATCATTTACTCACCCTCAAGTTGTTCCAAACCTGTATGAGTTTCTTTCTTCTGTTGAACACGAAATAAGATATTTTAAAGAAAATGGGTAACCAAACAATTCATGGACCCCATTGACTTCCATTGTATGGGAAAAAATACTATGCCAGTTAAAGGATTAGTTCATTTTTCAAAAAACTTTTGCTGATAATTTACTCACCCCCATGCCATCCAAGATGTCCATGTCTTTCTTTCTTCAGTCGAAAAGAAATTAAGGTTTTTAATGAAAATGTTCCAGGATTTTTCTCCATATAATGGACTTCAATGGGAACCAAACGGTTCAAGTTCCAAAAGAAACTTTCAGTACAAACTGCAAACTTGTTCAAAGGGCTTTAAACGATTCCAGACGATGAATAAGGGTCTTATCAAGCGAAACGATCGCTCATTTTTAAAAAAAAAAATAACAAAGTTTAAGTTTTATAAGAACAAACGCTCGCCTTGCTCTGTTCTGTGGTGCACGTTCGTGACTCTCCTGTTCAAACTCGTTCAACAAAATAAACAAATCTTTTTCCGAATCAATTCGTTAGTTTCTTTCGCTGAATGAACCAAATGACTCAGAAAAAGATTTGTTCATTTTGATGAACGAGTTCGAACAGGAGTGCGTTACAGAACAGAGCAAGGCGAGCGTTTGAGCTTATAAAACTTAAACTTTGTTATTTATTTATAAAACGAGCGATCGTTTCGCTTGATAAGACCCTTATTCATCTTCTGGAATCGTTTAAAGCCCTTTGAACAGTTTGCAGTTTGTACTTAAAGTTTCTTTTGGACCTTGAACCGTCTGGTTCCCACTGAAGTGCATTATATGGAGAAAAATCCTGGAATGTTTTCATCAAAAACCTTAATTTCTTTTCGAGTGAAGAAAGAAAGACATGGACATCTTGGATGACATGGGGGTGAGTAAATTATCAGCAAAAGTTTTTTTCAAAAGTGAACTACTCCTTTAATGGGGCTCTTCAACTGTTTAGTATCTGACCTTTTTCAACAGGTCTCCTTCTAAAAACTTCTCTTTCCCTGCCTAGTGTTTTCCATCACTCTGAGCTGAATATAGAAGACTATCGGTGTCCAGTTCTGAAAGGCTGTACAGTGTGTGTGACGGGACTCTCTACTGTGGACCGTAAAGAGGTTCAGAGGTTGTGCAGTCAGAATGGAGGAAGCTACACGGGACAGCTCAAGATGAATGAGTGCACTCATCTCATTGTCAATGAACCCACAGGTGACCTCATAATCTCTTGACCACATCACGCTGTTTTGGGTAACAGTCTTACTTCAGTTTGTGTGTTGCATTCCAGGTCAGAAATATGAGTTTGCCCGTAAATGGAACGTATACTGTGTGTCCCTGCACTGGCTGTTTGACAGCATCGAGAAGGGCTTCTGTCAGGATGAGAGCAGGTATGTCATGGGGCGTGGAGAGAAGAAGAGAACCGAGGAGAAAGCGGGCAGACCCAACACTTCCACTCCTACAGGAGGCAGCAAGAAGAAAGAGGGTGCGGAGTAAAACACTTTACTTATGGTTTACGGGGGATTATTTATGTTTTTGTTCAGCAAGGATGCATTAAATTGATCATAAGTGGCAGTAAAGACATTAATGAAATTACAAAATATTTCTATTTTAAATAAATGCTGTTCTTTTGAACTTTATTCATCAAAGAATCCTGAAAAAAAGGTATCACGGGTACCAAAAATAAATATATTTTTTTTAACATTGCTTATAATAGCATATTAGACTGATTTCTGGAGGATTATGTGACACTGAAGTCTTTCAACTTTGACATCACAGGACTAAATTACATTTTAAAATATATTCGAAATACAAAACCATTATGTGCAATTGTTATAATATGTCAGATATTACTGTTTTTATTATATTTTTTTATCAAATAAATGCAGCCTTGTTGAGCATAAGAGATTTCTTTAGTAAACATTAAAAATCTTACCGGCCCATAAGCTAGTATGTAAATTGACAATACACAAGATGGTTACAATTGGTATTTATTTCATAAAGCACAAAAAGTCACCTGAATAAATCAATATTATCACTAATTACTATGTCTGATTCATTTTGATTAATTGAATTTACATTGTCATTTGTTTGTGCAGAAGGTCCTTCACTTCTGGGATTGAGTCATATATCCAATATCAGCATGAATGTAAATGAAACGGCCCTCACCACTGCAGGAATCAGCCACATAGAGACTCCTGATCCGGTCGACTCATTTGACATCACTGTCTGTCGAGTAGATGACCTGTTGGATGGCTGTAAGGTTAGTTGTACTCAAATATGAGTGTTTCCTGGATATTTATAAGTTACACATTTTGGACATTGTTTAGATTAAAAATCTCAATTAAATCCTAGAATTTAAATGTTGAATTTGAAATAAAACAACCCTGTTCTTCTTCCTGAAGTTGTACCTGTGTGGCCTTTCCGGAAAGAAACTGGAGAAACTGAGGCGGATGGTGAACTCTGCTGGAGGTCTGCGCTTTAACCAGCCCAGCCAGGAGCTCACGCACATAGTGATGGGAGAACCAGACCAGAGGGTCAAAGTCTTCCTTGACAAAGCCACTCACAGGTCAGTCAAAATCTAAGTTGGGGTACAAGTAGACATTGTTTTATTTTATATAGTTTTTAACTAATAAAGATTAGGACCCGGTATAATTTAAGCGAAATCGAAGAATGAACTGGTGTGACTTTATTTAAAAAAATCAGGCCAAAACTAGTTTGTTTGGAGTTCAAGTCTGTAGTTCGAAACGGCTATCCAAAAATAATTTTCTGGAAAGGTTTTCTGTGAATGTGGTAAACACCTTTAAACCACTTGGTCTGTGGCGATTACGTAAAAGTTAGGTGTGCATGGGTCAGCGTTCCAGACTGCGACCAAATTGGTCACATATGCAACCAATTTTTGAGAATGCGTGTTAAAATTTTATGTGGTGGCATAAATAATGTGGAACGCCGTTGTATCAGCTGCTGCAGTCCGTAACTTATGATCAAAATGAACGAGTAGGCTACATCATGAATCCATTTTCCAAACCGTGTTTTTGACTTATCCTGAATCACTACGGTACGCCTATAATAAGTGTTTATATTCAGACTATTTTATCCCGGGGTCGACTCTGGTGCTGAGTTGCCCAGTGCCTGCTTGACTCGCTATAGACTTTAATGGAGAGAAGTAGCTCTGGTTATAGTGTTCTTCCGCAAGACCTGTGCAGTTTATTTATTGACGAACGTAGACAGCACCCGCATTGCACACTGATGGTGAAACGCGCCAATTACGAATTCACAAATTAAGGCATATAAAAATGAAAATGTCTCATGAAACAGCGTGCCCCTTCCTATATCTTTTCAGCGGTTAGATGAGAGTAATCGCTCGACTGAGGAAAAGGAAATTATTATAAAATGCAGAAGGTAAAATGTAAGGAGTGTGAGATTTCTGATTTTTGTTACAACTATAAACTTTGATAACGAAAAATCTGTATTATCTTATTATAATACTCTAATCTTTTCAAATGTAATGCATGCATTTGAATGTTTAATGATTTTTACAAGATGGAAAGATGATGCCGATAGAAAGATGATAATAGATAGCTAGATACAGTAGATTATGATTCAAATGTAAATAGATTGTATATAATTCACATGTAAAATGCTTAAAATTACAGATTAAAATTACTGTCCAAAATCCATGAAAATCCTGAAATTTGGCAATGATAATTAATATATTACAGGTATTTATGCTGCAACCCAGAAAGCCTTTGCTAACTTTGGTCCATTAAAACCACTATTCATCAGCATGCATTGATTAAAGGGGTGATGAACTGAGAAATCAAATTTTCTTTGAGCTTTTGACATCTAAGAGGTCGTCATATATTATAAGAATATCCTGTAAGTTTCAGAACTGAAAACGTCCTTGTTAGTCCAATAAAAGCTTTTATTGACACCAGCCTCTGAAAACGACTCGTTTTTAAAAGTGGGGAACTATGACGTCGAAGGGGTCCAAACACCACCCCCGCAGAAGAAGATCAACGCCTACTTCAACACGGCCGTTTAGCCCCGCCCACCGATTCGCGCATTACACGCATAGCTAAGTAGCCTAACATACATGCCTACCTCGTGATGACAAACCGGATCGAGCTAACGAGCAATACAGAATATTGTGCAGCTGGTTGTGGAAGGAGACAGTCGCTGCATAAGCTTCCTCTGGATTCCAATAGGACTGCATGGATAAACTTTATTTTTAATGAATGAGGTTGATGAGGGTAAAACATCCCTCAACCTCATTGAGGGTAAGGGTAAAACCAGCTGATGAGGCTAAAACATCGTCGTCTGTTCGCTTCATTTCACTGAGGTTTGTTTTGTAAACAAGACTGGATTTGCAGACCGATTAAGAGTATAGAACGTGCTATGCCGTCTATATTGGATCTGACAGGAATTGTGCAACACACGGACTCTTGGTCGAACATGTATGGGCGAATCCGGTTGCCATTTGACAACATTGGACGTTATGGGTGTATATAGCTGAAGAACTATTTCGAACTTCTTTTTGCTTCTACTTCGTCGTGAGTGTATTGGGGCCTAAATGAGGACTTTGGAGGGTGAAGTAGTTGTTGAATATGCAAGGTTCATTGCTCATGTCGTTCAGATTGACTCTTCCTATCTTCCTAAATTGCCATCCTTAGCCAGAATAAGTGCAATTTAAGCATTTCCAATATGGTTCTCAGAGATGTTCTTCTCCATAGACCCCATATAGTGACCGTGCAGTGGCTGCTGGACAGTTTGAGCCATGGTACTTTGCTCCCAGAGGATGGCTACTTCCACCCATCCTTCCTGCCCCCTGCCCCAGCCGCTGTTGATTTGCCAGCTCCCCAGAAAGCTGCTCCCCGTGCCTCCAGACCCTCTGTAGCTCCCCCTCCTGCCCCTAGTCCAGCCCGTCAAGCCAGAGCAGAAGAAGACCTGCTCTCGCAGTACATGGAGCCTGACCAGACTGTTGGTGAGTTTATAAATATATATTTTTTTCTTTGTCTTCTACTGTCTGTCTTCCTCATTCTTCCCTGACTGTCTTTAATGTAGTGGAGCTGGCTCAAGCCACTAATAGTACATGGAGTCGGCAGAGCGTTTTGCTTCCAGAGCCTCCAGCTGCACAGAAGGACTCAACCTTGGTTGAAACCTCAGAGGGTGGCCTGTTTTCAGGGAAGCGCTTCATCTTGGTTGGTTTTGGAGCCGAGGCTGAAGCCCAGCTCTCAGAGCTAGTCATGGAAAACGCTGGGAAGATTTTGGTGGGCCGCTCGAGAGCAGTGGCGCATTACGCCATCGTGCCACTGCTGGGCTGTGACGTAGAGGCCACAGTAGATGAGGTCGTAACAGATACCTGGCTGGTAAGAAAAAACACAGAGTTTATGCACAGACAGACAAGATACCTTTTGTAATTTTGTGTGTGTGTTTGTGTGTGTGTGTTCAGGCCATGTGTTTGGAGCAGCAGTATGTGTTGCCGTTAGCCTCTCATCCTCTATTCACTCCAGTGACTGTGAGAGAGGGCTTCTCTCCTCTCAAAGACTGTGTGCTGTCCGTCAGTCAGTTTACTGGAGCTGAGAGAGACTCTCTCATTCAGCTTGCCAAACACCTGGGAGCAAGGTGAGACCTTGCTCACTGAGATCTTCTGCTCAACTTCTAGGCTGTTTCAACATCCTGTATAGCAACAAGTCATCCATTTTTAATTAATAATATGATATTCTATTAGCGATCTAGCTCATTGCAATGTGCAACAAGTCAAGTGCCTCATAGCAGCCGCCGAGCGAACGCACAGAGTAACTTCATAACATCATCACCACACATTTAAAGGTATTTAGTATGCTTGTTTTGATAAAGTAAAACAGCGCCGCGGTACCCCACAATTTTAGTTTATCAGATAAAGTGACCGATAGGAGTAATTATTGAGCACTTGCTGCTGTTTTATTAGAATGAAATAAAATAATATGAATTTAATTGATCAAATGTAACTGTAACAAAGTTCGTGTTAAGGGAAGAGAGAGCTCAGATGTCTAAACTAAACTAAAAAACGAAAGAAGCAGGACTAGCGGCTGACTGGCATATAGGCAATAATGATACAGCAGCGTAAAATGTCCCAGGCTCTCGGCACCGCCCTGCTTCATACTACAATAACGTTAATAAAACTTTAATGCATTAATTAGCTCACCCATGAACATGATTTAGATCATTAGTAATGTCAGATTGCTGTCCATCGGCTGTGGAGGTGAAGACAACAACTCCCATGATTCCACACTCATTCAGCGTCAAGCTACGCCTTTGTTATTGTTTTGAGAAAAAAACGACCTCTAGAGGCGAAACTTGCATACTCTGCCCTTAATGTTTGAAACATTGTAAATTCATTTGTACTTTTAGTTACATTTCTTAAATACTCAAGTTTTTGTTATTTTACAGTGAAAATTGTATTACAAAACTAACGTTTTTCTTTATTTTATTTATTTATTTTTATTTTTTTATGTGTGACTATGTTTGGCCAAATTGTGTTGCACTATGAAAAAGCAACCAGAATTGCATTTAGCATCCAGAATTGCTGAATTCCTTACAATTCTCAGATATAATCTAATGTTTTGTTGCTTCTCTCACCTACATTTTTTATCGGCAGTGTTCAGGATTACTTTGTGCGGACCGCTAATCAAAGAAAGGGAATGCTTGCCAGCACTCATCTGGTACTCCAGACACCCGAGGGCAGCAAGTACCAGGCAGCCCAAAAATGGGGTTTCCCTGCAGTCACGATACGCTGGGTTTTAGAGTCTGCCAGAACAGGGAAGCGTGCCGATGAGGGACGATACCTGGTTTCCCTGCCACCCTCTCCAGGTTAGTCAGAAGTATATATAACAGTATATACTTATATTATAATGTAAGTATTATAACTGATGATCTCAAGTGTTTTTTCAGAGATTATATGTTTTTATTATATTTAGAAGCTCTCTTTAATAAACATTTTGTGATTTTGATTCCCATTTTTTTAATTGAATATAAAGAACAAAAGATCCGCACTTGCTTGTGTTTTTTAAAATTAATTATTAGTTTTTAATTACGCAACAAATCACATATAGATCAAGATCAAATGTTTTGGCAATCAACCTTCTTCAGTAAATCATACAATGTTACTGTCCCTAAGAATCTCAGGTGCTTCTCATCCAAAGAGTTTACAACCTAAATCAGCAAATCACCATTAAATGAATCCAAACAAACAAGTCAACACTAAAAACAAACACCCAAAACATTTGCAAAATGTTCAACATGCACAACAACCACAAAATATTCAACACATCAATCACAGCACATACAGTACAAATCATTAATTTATGATCTTCAACATCTAATGAGATAACAAATACTTACAAAATCTTCAATTCAGAATAAAAGTTGAGAATGATCAAACACATCAGGCCAAAAAGCAGTTCATAAATCCACATCGCCATCCACTTTCCCTGAACAAAAATAATCAAATTGCAATTTTGGTACAGCATGATAAGAAAAAAAAGACTGCAAACAACAACTTTCTAATTAAAGAAAACAGGAGAGGTCAAAGTCTTCATTAAAACCCAGAGGAGGCATGCTGTTTAATCGATACATCGAGCAAGCTTCTCATTATAAGATGTTTTTTTTTGTGTGTGTGTGTGTGTGTATTTGATACTTTTTCAATACCTATACAAGTTAAATCCTTCATTTCATAATAATGGTTGTGAAAATGTCTAGCAATTGGCAAATTAACATCACAGCTCCTAATCGCAGATTTATATTCACTAATATGTTTTTTTTAACGGACTAATAGTTTTTCAATGTAAATTAGTGTGTAAGGGCATTTTAAAATGTAAATCACAGTCGATGTGGCGCAAGCAATTATTAATGATTTAATGAAAAATATTTTACCAAAAGGTGCGTCAATAAACTGCTTGGTTTAAATTATTGATGATCAGGCTGCACAATTTCTACTGGGAAAACAACCTCTTAGCCTACGTTCAGACTGCAGATAAATGTGGCTCAAATCCAAATTTTTTTTTTTCCTCACATGTGACCGTTCTGTTTATGTACCACAAACTACATGGAATCTGATCTTTGTGGTACTAAATCCGATATGGGTCAGATGTATTGCGATGCGACCTCAGTCTGAACAGTCCTGAATTCATGCGACTTTTCCATCAGATCAACATTCTTCACAATTCTTCAGAGTCTTCAAAGATTTGACGCATACAAAGTTATCTAGACAGTTGCAAAAGGTAGTCAGTGGAAGGACAGTAATCTGTCAGAACCCATAAGTATTCTAATGACAGTCCTACATACAAGCAAAACATTAGGGCTTGTATCATAAATGTTTAAAAAAATCTGCTCTCCTTATTCACATCTTCCTCTGTTTTTTTTCTATTGCCTGCAAGAGATGAAATTTAAATATGCTGGTTTCTGCGGCATATCACACAATACATAATCTCGTAATCACTTACTGTTAATGTCCTTTGTGTTTAGTTTGTTCTTTTGTGCATGTGCAATACCATGATGTATTCACACTGTAATCTGATATTGGCCACATTTAAAACGACAATGTGAACGGGTATGCAAAAAAATATCAGAATTTTTGAGCATTAAGACTCGCTTTTATAACCTTCTGGATGTATTTTAGAACCAACCTTCAGAGTGTAGCCATATACCGGTAAATGTTTTAGTCTTATCGGTGTATATATCAGATTTTACCAATCTATTTGCTATGTTACTGGATCTTTTATGAATGAATAAAGAAAATCTTTAAAAATATTCCCTAAAGAGGGATTGGTTGAAAGAGTATTCCATTTTTTTTTTATGATACCCTTAATTAGATAAGTCGAATGTTTATTAAAAGTTAACAGTCATTTGACTGAAAATGATTTTCTGTGAACTTAATAAATAAGATTCATCCATTTCTATACTTTAAATTAAGAAATGTCATACAAATGGTCACTTCAACATTATATTATTGCTTTCTGTTTGTGATTTTCCCATAGAGAGAAGTGAAGACAGTTTTGTTGGAGCATCTCAGAAAGAACCGCCGCCTCTGCACCTCTTGCAACGCTCCCCAGAGCTACCCCTACTGGGCCCACAAAACAGCGCTGCCATCACCCCCCTGGACACGACTCGCTTTCAGAGCCGCACTGTCCGTTCAGCAGTCAGGAAGTTGAGAGAAGGAGAGGAGGAGCAGGCGGAGGTGTCAACCCCAGGACAAGAGGACGCCAAAGGAGCCCTGCAAAAAGACTCCTCCCTCCAACTAGACACTCCCTCTCGCTTCCTGAGCAGAGACCGACTCTTCGGACCAACATTTAACACTAAGGTCAGCTGGAATTTCAAATTCAGAAAACATCTTTTGCTTTGTTTTGGTTTAAAATGGCGTTAATAGACTGATAAGAAAAGGTACAATGCCAAAACCAGCCTGCTTAATTCTAAAGGGTCAGAGAGGAGTGGATGGTTAAATAGAACTAAATGATAACTAACTTTTGCAATGTGTTTGCACGTCTGTGTTGCAGGATGTCTTTGACCATTTACAGACTCCTGGGAATAACCCACAGCAAGGTCAGGGGGCGGAGACTCCCCTGTCAGAGGTCATCGAGAGAAACCTTAATGCTGCAGTTGCCAACAGTAACCGCAGTCATGTCACAAACCTCGCAGCCATAACTGCCAGTCCACAGCTGGAAAAAAAAGAGCCTGAACCTGAGGTACACACACTCGCATATACACTCGCTACGTTTATCTGAATACAGATGTTTACAGGTGTGTGTCTTGCAGGTGGAGCAGAAGACTGAAGCTCCTCTCAGGGGGGTGGTGGTGTGTGTGAGCAAGAAATTAAGCAAGAAACAGAGTGAGCTCAATGCAGTAGCTGCCTCTCTCGGTGCAGACTTCAGGTATGTAACATATCATAACATCATATTACATGCATCTAAAACAGTGCCAGCTGAGATGTTGGTAAGGCATGTTTTTGAGTGAAGGGGTGGAAACTAATGCCATACTGTCTAATTTAGGTGGTCATGTGACGACTCTGTCACTCATTTCATCTACCAGGGGAAAGTTGGAGACAACAGTAAAGAATACAGAGCTGTGAAAGAGAGAAGACTGCATATAGTGTCACAACACTGGCTACAGGCTGTACGTACATGCAGATACTTTTAAATGCATATTGCGCAAAAAAGTGTCTATGAATAAATTAAGGATGCACCAATAATAAAATTCTGGCCAATACTGATGACTAGATAATCATTTTTATTTTCAATCGTTAATATGGCTGAGAAAAAAAACTAGTGTCAAAACAGTATGAAAAGTGCAGTTTTATTTAAGATCTGCTAAAGATTATATTTAAGTGTTATTAAACTGGTATTGTTTTTAAAGATTAACTTTGAGTGTTAGATGATGGCAAAGATAATCAAATTGGGGAAATGAGCTTAAAAAATTAAATATGTGAACTGATAAATTAAAAAATGGGTAGATTACCAGTATGGTATTGATGATGTGTACATTCCCAATGGAAATATAAATTATAATTTTTTTTGTCAGAAGTTGCAGGAGCTCTTGGAGTACATCAGAAATAGAACAGAGCATCAGTTTACTGAAATCACTGATTATAATGGGTTCTATTTACCTTTGTCCCGTTGCACCTCTGACACAGTGTTCTGCTCACCAAGGCTGCATTTGATCAAAAATACAGTTAAAATAGTTATAAATACTGTGAAATAACATTTGTATTTATATTTGAATGTGAAATTTTGCTGATTTGATGCTCAAGAAACAAAATATTGTATTTTTCAGGATTCTTTTAAATAAAATAGAAGAGCATTTATGTTAAGTAGAAATCTTTTGTAACATTAAAAATGTCCTTACTGTCACTTTTGATCAATTTCATGCAACCTTGAATACAAGTATTAATTTCTAAAAAAAAAAAAAAAAAAAAAAAAACCCTACCCCAAACATATGATTTTGAATCTTGATATTGATTTTATAATTAGGTATACCACATTTACCATATGTATTTTGTTAGATGCACAATAGTGATACATGACACAAAGGACAAATAAAATGCATAAATCCTGTTTATTTTGGTTTCTTACCAAAAAAGCTAGTCTGTTGGTAGCATCTAGCTTTAATAACATATAACTTGGTCATTCATTCATGATTCTTAATCGCTTCGCTCGGTCCTTGGCACTTATGTGAGGCGGCTGGTGAAAAAGTTTTCATTTCACTGTTTCACACTGACATAATGTTCATCTGTATCATTGTTAAAATAATGCATTGCAACTTCAAATTGAGGATAATTCAATTAGATAATTATTATTTTGCTGTGAAATGGTGAATTAACTAGTATCGCATAAAATGATTGTTTCATTTTATTGATTTTGTATTTTATTCATCGATCGTGGAATCACAAAGATCTGGAGTGACTGTAAAGCATTGTGTAAAGTTTTGAGATTTCATTAAATTCATTGTCCATCCCAATTTCAGTGTGCAGATGAGCAGAAGCACGTGTCGGAGTCGCTCTACCCTTTCACTTTCAACCCCAAAATGAGCCTTACCATGAGTCAGATGGCAGATTCCACTCAGAGGTCACCTCCCCCTAGCACCCCCCGCACCAGACTCAGGGCGTTCACAGAGAGTGAGGAGACCGGGGTGAGGGATTAATAACTGCATTACCATATTCTTCAATCCACAATTATTATTAAGCTTATTACGCTTTTTTTTTTAATTAAAACAATGTTTGTTTTTTTCAAGCTTGGCCCTAATGACGACATAACAGACATCTCGACTCCTCAGCGAGTCAGTGTGGGAGAGCCTGAGAAAGATCAGACCCTCAGCAATGAGAGAAAAAGTAAGTCATCTTTAAAGATGTGTCTGATTTGTGTGTTAGATCACAGCTTTTTTCTCTCCTTTTATTTATTTATTTTTTTTTACAGTTATTTTCTCTCCTTTTTTATTAATCCCGGCTCCCTTAGGTATTACAGAAGCGCTGGAAATGAGAGAGAATCTTCAAAGGCAGCTTCAGGAGATCATGTCTGCCACTAAACTGACCAGCGGTCGTCGAGGCTCCTCGCGGTTGGCTAGAACAGGCTCCGGGGGGCAGGACTCACCCCACACCCCGGACAGCCTGGGGCGAATGGGTAGACGGAGCCGCAATTTAGAGGCCATACGGTATAAATTGGTGTCTCTGATCCCATTGGATTGTGGCATCAGCAGTTTTCAGTTGTTCAATAGAGAATGTAGACACAGGACATGTTCCTTGCTGCTGTTTTTTCTGTATCCTGTTTAACTGCATCAGATGCTGGTCATCAGCTAGTTGCGTTTTTAAGATTGCATGTTATAAGATTGTGTTTTGGCAGGATGTCACGTCAAGTGGATGTGGACCTGAACACCGAGCCGTCTCAGAGTGAGCAGATCGTGTGGGATGATCCCACCGCACGAGAGGAGAGAGCGAAACTGGCCGATAACCTGCAGTGGCCTGGAAGCCCCTCCCAGCACTCCGAACCTCTAGCCCTCGTCCCGCTGCCCCCCTCTGATCACACGGCCAATGGCAGGGACTCCATGACTGACTCTGAACTGGTGGAAATGGGTATGCAATGTTTTGCATTTGAAAAAAGTGTTCAAAAGTGTCAAGAAGTCTCTAATGCTTACCAAGGCTTAATTTATGTGATTAAAAATCCAGTAAAATCAGTAATATTGTGAAATATTACAATTTAGAACAACTGTCTATTTTAGTATATTTTAAAATGCAAATTATTCCTGTGATTGGCAAAGCTGAATTACTACAGTTTTCAGTGTCACATGATCCTTCAGAAATCATTCTAATATGCTGATTTGGTAGAACGAAACATTTTCATATTATTATCAGTGTTGAAAACTTTTGTGGAAATCAGGATACTTTAATAATGTCTCAAAAGATTTTTATTTCAAATAAATGCTGCTCTTTTGAACTTTCTATTCATCAATGTCTTTACTGTCACTCACTTTTGATAAATTGAATGTGTCCTTACTGAAAAACAGTAATATTATTATTTTATTTTTTTTAAACGCACCGTTTTGAAAGGTAGAGTGTGTGAGGAAGTGAAAGTAAAATACAAATGTTCTAAATGATTTAACTCTTCTGACCCTTTCTAGCTGCTTTTGAAGTCATTGATGCACAACTGAGGCCAAAGGTGACCCCGCCTCGAGTCGCCACGCTACGAAACCCTGAAACACCTGAAGCTCCTAGTATTGCTTTCCCCATTTCTAAAACTGCAGCCGCTCCCCTTCCACCGGTACACATGCACCTATCCATGGACAGCAGTTCTAATTATCTTTATTTAAATCTGATCTAACTCAATCTGCTCTCAATAGATTGAAGATAAGGACCAGGTGAAGAAGGATCCTCCACGATTCCTGCTGTCTTCATTGAATCCACAGGAACGCATTGACTACAGCCATCTCATAGAGGAGCTAGGTTAGTACGCAATACAACTTAGTGTTTCCTGTTTCTTCCACTGGGTGACTTCATATTATCTGTCAGTGTACCTCACTGCATTGTGTTTCATTTTAAATCTGCTAGACATCTTGCTTGGCCTTATGGCCCTTTCACACTGGCAGTTTAGTATAAAACACGGCACGGTTCACATGAAAAATTGGTTATGTGAGAGCTGCCATGGGTACCGAACCCGAGATTTACCTGTATTAGGTGGTCTGAGCTTGGTTGCACTGGAGCTGTGGTGTGATTCGCATGGATGTTAAAGCAACTCGTATTCAGGTGCTTACTTGTTCAGAAAGTAAAGTAACCTGCGCATGCATTTTGGCCAATGACGACATCATTAGTTGTCGGTAACAATTTGGACTTGGACAACATCAAACATGCCCAGTGTTAAAGCCCTGACTAAGGGCTGTGGCTGACTAAATACTTTCTGTATGATGTGTCTTGTATGCGTTACCTCTGCAGATGGTGTTGTACTAGAGAAGCAGAGTTTTGACCCCAGCTGCACCCACGTGGTTGTGGGTTATCCTCTGCGCAATGAGAAGTATCTGGCCGCAATGGCAGCGGGCAAGTGGATCCTTCACCGATCATACCTGGAGGCCTGCCGTGCAGAAGGACACTTCATAAAGGTGTGTGTCTGCGTTTGTGTTCCATGTCTTTCAGACATGATCTCAGATGATGTTCATGTTCTGTGTGTGTGTCGTGTGTTAGGAGGAGCAGTATGAGTGGGGCAGCAGCTCTATACTGGACGCTCTGCCGTCCATCAACTCTCAGCAGAAGAGACTGGCACTGGCAGCCATGCGATGGAGGAAGACTCTACATGGCGTCTCAAACAAGGAGGTACACATATACACATACTATATATATATATATATATATATATATATACATAGTTCCCACAGGCAAAAAAATTGTCACGTGACCTCCCCGGAGACGCCATCTTTGAGGGCAAAACCGCTGTGTTTACCATAGGCGTTTACAACGTTTTATCAGAGAATGTCGTTTTACAAACAAATATTTATGTCTGTTTATATTGTTATGCAAATCATGAAAAGACAAAGTGTAATAGATTATAAAGAGACTATTAAAACAAGACATAGAGAGGTACAATGCGAAAATTTCATTCATAAATGGTGTGTATCCTTATGCAACAAAAGAAGCACTGAGAACCGATTATGCAACTTTGCCTCAGATACAGTATTTTCATGTGTACAATTATCTGGTATTGGTGAGGAGTTTTTACACATGTAAGCAAATTCCAAGCCTGGAAATCACTGGAGGTGTACGATCAGATTGACGTGGGGTTGGTTTGGTGACGTTTGCTCAAGTGCAATCAATGGAAAAGTAACTTAAGTCATCATAACGAAGTAGCATGATGCTAATCTGTCTATTAAAAAGCCATAGCCTGCACAACTTAATTCCTATGTTCCCCAGTCACCGGTGATTTCTGTAATATGCATGTACTTGCGGGCGTCATGGTTCGGTGCATGAATATTAAAATAAATAACTCGCGTGCAATTTAATTAATGTAATAAATGAGGAACTACATTATACGCGGGATCTTTAGGGACATAATCTGAGATTGCAATGCTGGAATGTGAGATCAAACAGTGGAAACAATGTTGTTTTGTATATTTTTAATATTTTGTTCATACAGGACATTATTCAAACTGCAACGTGTTAACTTATATTTATTTACACTCGCAATAAAACACAACATTGTGCTTTTGTCAAACAAATTCGTGCGTGTTTTGAGTGAGTTTCTTTCCTGTTTATGCTCGCCAGCCATAATCTCCATCGTTGTTCGGACAAAAGCTTAGTCTTCTCACATCCATATGGAGTCTAATGACGGGTATAGTGTAAAATCCCGATTTAACTGAACCTCCGGCATGATTTTATCATCCATTGACTCAGCAGGAGATGACCATTTTCACTTTATAGCACGAAACTCATTTCACTTCGTTCAACTCGTATTGCTTCTTCTTATGTTTTGCCCTAAGCAATGGCGCCGGGTCGGCAAATGCCCGTATGTTGTGACGTCATGTGGGAACTATGTATATATATACAAGCTTGCCATGGATGAACCTGCAAGTACATGGTGCAGTGGCTGATGCTGTTGATGTGCAGGGAGCTTTTGGCGGCTGGACTGTAATGTTGAATATTGACCAGGCCAGAGAAGCTGGATTCAGACGCCTGCTGCAGTCTGGGGGAGCCAAGGTTTGTTGTCTTTTGTCATATCTTTGTCTCTTGATTCCAGGTTTAAAATATTGGTCTCTGTATGGTTTCTTTGTCCTGTATTAACCCTATTTTTTCTGTATAGGTGTTACCAGATGCTTCTCCCTCGCTCTTTCCAGAAACCACACACCTGTTTGTGGATTTCAGTCGGTTAAAGCCGGGTGATGTCAGAGTGGACATCAGCGAGGCTGCAGCTCAGGGGGTCAAATGCCTAAAACCAGAGTATATTGCTGATTACCTCATGCAGGTGAGACAATGATTTTTATTTGTATTAAGCCTCTTGGTTTTCTGTGCTTGTTTGTAGGGCTGCACAGTTTGGCAAAAAAGTTGTGTAATTATCAATTTAATTATGAAATAATAATTTTACGTTGTCATTGTTACTGTGCAATTATGTATTGAAGTACTGAGTAATATTAAGCATCTACATGTACTTACCATAGGGTTAGGATTAGGATTTGGTTGAGGGTTCAACAGCAGAAAGAAACTCCTTTATTTTACAGAAATATTATTATTATATTATAATATTAAATTTACCAAATGAAAACAAACAAAATAAGAAATTACACAAAAATCTGTAAAAAAAAAAAAAAAGTATTTTTTTAAAATAATACTCTAAAAATACTCTACTTGTATTTTGCAGTACAACTGAAGAATTTCAATACTAATATATATCACTGTCTTAATTTTCAAAAGTTGAACCAATGAACTTCTCTTTAGTTGCAAGTTTGTAAAGACTGTTGGCCCATGTTGCCTTCACAAATGCATCTTATAAGTGACCCAAACTCGGGCATGAGTGGTTTCGGTTGTATGTCGATTAATCATGCAACCCTATTACACCTGACATTTAATGTACCAGAAGCAATAATGTGGAAATTTGATCTCAGTAATTGCTTGTTCTGTTTCAGCTCTGAAATGGTTGTTTAGGCAACAGGTTGTATGATTTAATAAATTTGCCCTTTTAATTTTTTTTTTTTTTCAGGAGCCATCTCCTTCAATGGATGCTTACTATCTTCCTGGTGCAGCTGCAGATGATCTAGAGAAGGTTCAAGATACATCTTCACGCAAACGGAAAGCATCCGGCGATATGTCCACATTGAAGAAGAGTCGTGTGAGATGAAACCATCCTATTTCATGCTCAAACGTAATGTGTATTTAATATGTATTTAATTCATTTTATTCATATTACATTGTAAGAATAAGAATTTGCCAGTTGTGCCAATAAAAAAATTAATTCATAATGTAAAAATTTGAAGAAAAGGGTTGTTTTTTTGTTTTTAAGATTTCACCAGAAATCCAATTTAAACAGAATTTCGCTGCTTGCATTTTTGTTTTATGCTAGACATCTCTGCACTCTGATGTACTACCACTTTATGCCCTGCAGAGGGAGCAATCTTCACAAAATTTGACTTAATGATCATTTTAGCCATACAACCTTTTGCCTATTACATAAAATTTTTTACACACACTCAAATGCATGGGCTAGTACTATATAAATATAGTTAGAAAGTTGCCAATTACCTGCCAGCCACAAATATATAAGACATTATGCACAGGTGGACTGATTGGACAGATAGAAAATTAAAAGGCTTTATGTTCTTAAATCACTATATGATGTATCATATAATACTGTCTGTTGCGTGTAATTCTGTTTTAAAGTGATTTATCACTCATGTTCAGTGAATCCCATGATTTTCTGATCAAGTGTACCATAATACTCAAGATGTTGCTTACAGTTCGTGTTTGACCCCTGGTGTATTGCTTTCTTTCGAAAGACTTTGGGAATCATCTGTGTCCACAGCAACCGTTCTGTTACTAACGGCAACAAGTACATTGTTTTTTTGTTTAATTCTGCTGTCTGACTTATGTCATAGAACCAATTCATATCGTTATGTTTTGGTCGTATCCTTTTTACTCTATTGGTATGTTACTTTCATTTATCTTCCTATAGTAACAATAGTGTTAATATTATATATATTTTTGATAATTATAATTTTTTAAACAACCAGTTTTAGTGCCACTTCTTCCTACATTAAGCTCATTTCAATGTATTTTAACCCACTACGAGTCTGTTTACCCTGTAAGTAACATTACTAATTCTTTTTACATTCAAGTGTGTGTGGAATCCCATGATGTCTGTCAAAATACACATTCACTTAAAGCCATAACTGGATTTGCTTGAGAAGTCTGGTGGCCTATATGGGCATGTAAATGATTTACTCTGGTCATGGCTAAGCCTGGCACCAGCCGATTACTGAGACCGGGGGGTTAAACCACAGACTCAAAGCCATCGGATTACGAAGTTGGATCCCCCATTTGTCACAGGGGGTGGTGATAGGGGGAAGGGTTCTTCTGAATGCCTGTTAGTCTTCTGAACACATATCTGCTATCACCTTTTATGTCACTGCACTGCACATGTTTCTACCTTTGTGTTTCTTGCTTCAGTCCTGAATGAGTAATTAAATGTGCTGTAAATTACTTCCTTTCCACCCAAGCTCTGTAACTGCTGGTGCAGATAAGACCTCTTTGCTCCTTACCTGTCTGCATGACTGATACTGGGACCAGTACCTCTATCTGATAACAATGCCATTTTACAGTGGTAATACGAAGAAAAATAGCTTGTTGTGAGGCCTATGATGACCAATGCAGGCCACGGAAAATGACCATATTTCCGTAAGATATGAATAGGGATTATGCATTGAAGTGGAACAGAATGTCCCTTTGTTCCTGTCTAAAATCAGGACACAGTTGCCTATTGTTGCTCAAGACAATGTGTAAAAAAAAAAAAAAAAAAAAAAAAAAAACGACTTTACGCTTGCAATACAAGGGCACATAGGAAATGGAGTTTACAGATTTTAGTGTAAAAATAAAATAAAAATTAAGCGTTTTGTTTGTTTTTGTTTTTTGGCTGTTTACAGAGTTGTGATGGAAAGTTTGATTCGTTTTGGTCGATCGGTTCATTCGAACCGTTTGGAACCCAGTTCAAAACCCGATTCAATGATTCATTTACTTATCGTGTTTCCTGACATTGTGCATGACACGCATTGCTATTATTTATTTATTTATTTATTTTTTTATAGGTTTTAATAATAAGGTTGTGTGTTGTAATTCTATGTGTACCGATTCAGTTTTTATGCATTCATAATGAGCTCATAAAATATCAAGTCATCTAATGTTGCCTGCCTAATGTTGCCTGGCATTTACTGTAGGCCTACATTTAAACATTACTGTCTTTCTTTAACAGGTGTTAACACACACACACACACACACACAAAAAAAAAAGAAGAAGAAGAAGGTTTTAGCATGTTTAAAGCTGATAATCATCGAATACTCTCTAGTCTGACTCGAGGAACCGTTTGGGCGATTCAGTCCGATTCGTAAACCTATCAGACACATTGTTATAACTTTAAAGACCCCGACGCTGTCAAGGAGATAGTTGTCATGTTTATTATTTCACTGACATATCAGGTAGCCTAGTAAGAACATTTAATGTGTTGTAGGCCTATCCTAAAATAGCGCATTAAGTTCAATATATATAGGCTATATATATATATATATATATATATATATATATATATATATATATATATATATATATTTTAAAGACCTTCTCCAACATACGTTTCTCTTAGATTTTCAAATAGGCTTACAAATCTACTCTTTTCCTGTTTCTACTCCCTGATTTGTAGGCTACTTAAGTTGGTGTGGTCCTCAGGGGGGACCATGTCATCCTATACTAGGTTAGCCTAATTACCATAGCCAGGTTAAACCACTGGAGAAAGGATAACCCTCTTAGCCCAGTTAGTCCTGGTGCAGCAATATATACTCATTGTTATTCTGTGGCCGTTTACAGTAAACGGAACAGTTTTCGAGCCAGGGTGACCGACACGCACCATCATTAGTCTGATATCACTCCTCCACCTGCTGTCTTGGTTTCTCATGACCAGTCTATGATCTAAGCAAGCTATCCTATGTTTTTGGGGAGGTGTGCGAGGTTGGACTGGATTCAGACAGCCTATCTGCTGGACGGAGGCTGGAGAGGGACTGACCGCTCCGCTCATGTGACAGTCTGATACCTTGCGGGAAGCATGTGCGCGTTGCGCGTTTCGCTTAAACCGGTGACGCGGAGGCTTTGATGAGCCGGTTCGGCTGGAAGGAGGAGGTTTCGGACTAGTCTCCAGGTAAAAATAAACTCCTTATTCGTTATTTAATGCGTGTCAATGCATGTGTTTTCTTTGCGAACATTATGACAAACGTTTACGCATTTTGGTAGCCTATAAGGCTACTCGATTTTGGAGCTTCTAAGATGAATAAAGCTCTCAGAATCAATTGTGAATATTCCATTTATTTATTTTTTGATGATGATTTTTGGGTTGTCATTCGGCATCACACTCCAACGAGAGATGCTGTTAGTTTTCATGGTGGTTAACTGATGTGATTTCTAGAGTCATATAATTAGTCTAGGGATGCGAATCATACGGAATCGATTAGGTTCCCTAACATTTCCATGAACGATTCTTTGGTATTTTGGAGGAAGAAATATGTGAGGGGAAAGGATTTGGAAATCTTTAGGCATTTATTGACCTCAGCTGTCTCTAATGATGGAATAATTTGGTAGCCTAACTATATTTAGTTACTAATTCAATTATTTAAAATAGGCTATGCCCTAACGATTATTTAAATAAAATTATAGCCTAAACAATTTTAATTTTATAACAAAACTCAAAATGTGTAACTAGCCTACACGTTAATCAATAGTTCCAGAAATGTTATCATCACCCTCAAGTTGTTTCTTTCTTCTGTTGAACCCAAAAGAGGCTATTTTCAATAATTTTGGTAGGCTTCAACGTTAGGCTAAGTTAAGGCTACCATCAACTGTCTGGTTACCGACATTCTTTAAAATATCTTCTTTTAATTAATTTTTTTTTTTTTTTTTTTGGGACTGTCCCTAAGTAATTATAGAATTCAGTTCTCCGAGTCCGACGGATTCATAAATGTAATTTCTTCACTGAAAAGAACCGGATCTCTATTCGTTCCGAATCATTCGAATTGGACTAGCCTACATTTTCTTTCTTTTTTTCAATTTAGCCCACTAAAAAGTTCCGACTCCAAAGATTCGTTCATTTGAAATTCGGACTGGTGGCGCTGTGTTCACTAGCAGTGATGTGCTAAACAGAAGTGTTGGAAACACTGTCAGACTATGTTAGTTCGTTTTTCTGTCCGCAGAGAAAAAAAAATGGACCCGGACGTCACGAGAATCAATTTGTTCCGTTAATTTCTAAATAGAACTGAACAACAATCGATCCCTAACACTAGTTATAGAGTAACGGCTTTTAGTCTCTCTCTCTCTCTCTCTCTCTCTCTCTCTCTCTCTCTCTCTCTCTCTCTCTCTCTCTCTCTCTCTCTCTCTCTCTCTCTCTCTCTCTCTCTCTCTCTCGCCACACACACACACACACACTCACTGAGGGTATCAGCCTATTTATTGTGAGCTCCTACTGAAGGAGAGTTAGGGAAGCTTTACGGTATCACCACCCGTGAAAGATCATTGTGTGTTTCATAGTCAGGAGGATTCTGAGGATATAGGCTAACGCAGATAAACATCATGTTATGCTACAGGCGTCTTTGATCGTTTTCCAGCATATTCTCATAAGGTAAGAGACATCAGAGCTTTTCTCACCCTTCCTCTGGAACATTTGCCTAACTCACTCACATGGATGCACCTGCTCATAGATTGTGATATATCTAGAGATAAATGCTCCCTTAATGGCAAACTTACTTAATGTTTGTTTGCATTCATTACTAAAGCAAGCAAACATCCATTCTCCACCATTCATTTAATCAACATATATCGGATATGCATCACTTTGCAGCCATTTTGCTATCAGAGAGTCAAACATCTTCATTTCAGCATCTTTTATTTCATTTTGTTGGCCTGCAAAGGTCCATTTTGGAATCTCAAGTTGTTTAGGAACATAACTTGTATTAAATGTTGCATTAAACCAATAATTTAGATTTAAAATAGAGTATAAATGTTATGGTTAGGTCTATTTGTTTGTCAAATACCTAACCAGTAGGTCAAAACTATTTGTTTTCTCCCTGGGAATTCAACCTATGACCTCATCATTGACTACGTATTACAGGAACGTCTGTAGAAAGCTAAAGAACAGAGTGAATGTTTCCTTTACCATGGGGCTCATTCATTAACATTCAGTTCTAAATAATGAGGCAACTCTCTTAAAGCTTGAGGCTGTTAGAAGGCGTCCTCTCCATAAAGATGCTCCATTTGTGTGTGTGTGTGTGTGCGTGTGTGTGTGTGTGTGTGTTGCCGGTCCCACAGAACAGTAAATGTTTAGAAGTGCAGGGTCATTAAAAGTTGGTCGCCTGAGAGCATTGTGAAAGGAATGTTAGTCAAAGTCCTTAACAGGACACCCCCAACTATATGCTTTGTTCTCCGGGACAATACCTCGCTGGTTTGTCCAATAGGGAGGTAGAGCGAGGGAGCTGGGTCTTGGGTCAAGTGGCAAGACACTGACATATGTAGCTGACAACTTGTTCCGGAAGGGTCACCTGATACGAGGCTGCAAAGCGGTGAGCGTTTCATGAAAAGTGGAGGAGGAACTTTGATTCATTGGGGCAGAGGGCATCACCCTTTTCCCTCCGTTGGTTAACTGGCTTCAGGATCATTATCTGTGTTCGTTTTTCTCTAAACATGGCATTCTTTAGAAATGACCTAAGTGTCTGTAAAAAAAAATATATATATATATATATATATATATATTTTTATTTAGTTTGCATGGGGTCTCCTCGGTTCTAGACCAGGGTAAAAATACTTCCACTCCCCCCCTTTTTGTCTGATGAAATCCATAACTTTCTTGATTTTTTTTTTTTTTTTTTCATTTTACTTGGATGTAATAATATTATAGAACTTAAATAAGAATGATTTTTATTAAAGTATATATATATTGTCAAACGATTATTTGTGATTAATCGCATCCAAAATAAAAGTTTGTGTTTACATAATACTGTATATGTGGGTGCACTGTGTATAATTATTTTGTATATATAAACACACACACATGCTTGTATATGTTTAAGAAATATTTTCATGTATATACTGTATGTAGATTTATAAATAATTTATATGATATGTAAATATACATATTTTATATATAAATAATATTTTTTTCTTAAATATACATGCATGTGTGTGTATTTATATATATATACATACAAAATAATTATACACAGTGCCCCCACATATAATATCTAAACACAAACTTTTATTTTGGATGCGATTAATCGCGATTAATCGTTTCACAGCCCTATATATTTGATTTATTTGAATATCTCTAATATATTATATTGCATTACATTATATATTATTCTTATTACATTACAGTTCAAAAGCTTGGGGACAGTAAGATACATTTTTTTAAGTAAGAAATGACTTTTATTCAGCAAGAATGCATTAATTAGTCAAAAATGACAGTAAAGCAATTTATAATATTACAAAAGATTTCTATCTCAAATAAATGCAGTTTTTTTTAACGTTTCTATTCATCAAAAAAAAAAAAATTTCAACATTATTATATTATTATACAAATTATATTTCTGTTTTTACTGTATTTTTGATTAAATAACTGCACCCCTGATGACCATATACTTTTTTTCAAAAATATTTTTAAAAAATACAACCAACTGCGAACTTTTGAATGGTAGATTATAATACATTTGTTTAAACAGATTTAAATATTATATATTCGTATATTTTTAGATTATAATACATATGTTTAAACCGATATAAACATTTCGTATATTTTTAGAGTATAATACATTTGTTTAAACAGATTTAAAAATTATATATTCGTATATTTTTAGATTATAATACATTTGTTTAAACAGATTTAAATATTAAATATTCGTATATTTTTCAAAGTAGCCATTTTAATCTCTTGTTTTTGGGTGTGGTTATGGATGATCCTTCATTATCCTCTTGAATCGAGGTCATTTCAGAGTGACAGTAACCAGACCAGGACAACAACGTATCAACTGTCCTGTGGAGTCACCTCTGCCCACACCAAACATCACTCACGTGTCAACGGGACGCATATCATCATTGCAACCAGGCTTCCTGCAATCTTATATATAGAGTTACATAATAGGTAAACATGCCATACCAATTCAAAACAATCAACATTTGGAAAAAATTCAGGGTCAAGCAGGAAACCTTACAATCTTATCAGAGAAAAGAAAGGCCAATGTTTCCATTCTCTTTTCTCTCTTCCTCTTTCAAGCATTTCCAGTCTCAATTACAATCCTGACCCAGGGGAGAATGGTACAGCCTGGTATGGAATGTGTCCCATGCCTAAATACTCTAGATCTTGAGGACAGTGAATGAACTCAGCACTTGCTCTTAGAACCTAGTAGACAGGAAAAACCCGACACACGGGCGCGACGGAAGAACAACATGTTCTTTTCCTGAAGAGTGGCATGCACTCCTATAAAAGCCACGCTACATTAGTAGTTTTAGAAATGAGTTTCTTCTAAGGATTTTTCTGAGCTTTAGTAAATGAGGTTATAAAGGGGCAGTTGAGATATCCCTCTGTCTGATAGGACATGTCCTCCCATTTCCTGCAAGACACTGATTCTATCAGCCTGAGTTCCTTCCCATTTATAAATTCAGGTTCGGTCAGTCGAGCTGAACATTGTCAGGAATAACAAACAGAAGAAGGCAGAAAAGTTCCGTTTTTTTTTTTTTTTTTTTTTTTAGTTCAATCAAAATGTAAAATTCTGTTATAATTTCCTTGTGCAAATTAACACACTTCAGTATACTTTAAAAAAGATTGTGTAAATAATATAGTTTTAAATAAGGAGTAGTTCACTTTTCAAAAAAGTGTTTGCTAATAATTTACTCACCCCCATGTTATCCAAGATATCCACGTCTTTCTTTCTTCAGTCGAAAAGAAATGAAGGTTTTTGATAAAAACATTCCAGGATTTTCTCCATATAATGGACTTTAATGGGAACCAAATGGTTCAAGGTCCAAAAGAGAGTTTCAGTGCAGCTTCAAAGGGCTTTAAACGACACCAGGACCTTGAACCATTTGGTTCCCATTGAAGTCCATTATATGGAGAAAATCCTGGAATGTTTTCATCAAAAACCTTAATTTCTTTTCGAATAA